GGGAGCGCGGAGCAGTGCTAGTTACCGACAGCAAGTCACCGGAGGTGTAGCGTTCCTCTGCTTGCGATAACCTCTATCACAGTGTTCCGATAACTCCAGTCGCGGAAACATAGAAGTCGACGCCAGTACTTCGCCAACCGAAGTGTCCACATCGACAATTTTCAATGCAGCATGGAAACAAAAGTATTTCTCGCAGATTGCGGCAGCTATCTGTGTTTAGTTTCCAAAAAGAACTTAATCACATGAAGTTTAATTTGCAACGTCATTATATTGTTAATCATGCTGCTAAATTTCTTATGTGATTGATCCTTCTTTTGCAACTAAAAAGTTAGCATAGCGGGTGCAATATGCAAAAAGAAAGTTTTCTTTCCGTGCTGCATTGAAAATGGTTTTTTTTCAAATCATAAATATGTATATATAACTAGTAAAAGTTACAAAATATTTTACTGATTCTCTATTTTAATATTCATTCCCAGAGCAGTGAAGCGTTTTCAGTCCGAGCAATGGAAAATACCCAGAGGAAAGAAGACGCGACCCACTGTGCGGCTTGCCGCCGATCGATAACAGATGACGTAATCTGCTCCCTCTGCCTAGAAAGAGCAGGGAGCAAACGGAGGCTCCTCCTCGGAGCACTTGGCTGAGCAGCCCTGCATTAGATAGTTCTTACGAAATAATGCAACCATCCCCAACTCGGTGTTCATTGGGTTGCTCCTTACGTCTGACGTTTAAGACCACTGTCCTGGGGGGAGGAAGTCTGAGTAGATCCGTAATCGACAAAAGCTAATGTTCGTGTCAGCAAGGTCCGAGAAGAGAAATAGCAAGAACGCCTAGAACCGTAAGACGTTGTAGGCCAGTGCTTCTGAAACGCAAACATACGGGTCCAGGTTCCCCGCTGTGGGTCTCTACAGTTGCGGATCACGTCGGTGATCAGCAGATAGGCGCTGGGCCAAGGAACGGCAAGTGGGAAATACTTTCACACAATGTCTCCGAATATCATGTAAATGTAGTTCACAACGCCATGTATTGATTCATCTTTTGATTTCCATTCATGCAAATCTGACGAACTGAATCCGATCATTGTTAATATATTTTGATTTTATTAGTATGGTTTAATGTTTGTGTAAAATGCGCTCTTCTGTTGCATGCAATTTGCATTGATGAAAAATACATGTAAATTGATAAAAATCGAAAATTATTATGTATTTTATTCGTTTTTCATTTGTGAAATTCTTTTTAATTTTCAGATATTACATAAAGTATAGACCTTTCAATAGAGATTTATATAAAAAACTTTAATACCCTGAAGAAAACAGCAGAGCAAAGAGGTAATGATGTTCAAACACAGGGTGGAGCGTGCGAGGCGGGAATTTTAGCTTCGCATGCAAATAGGTTTGCCAGATATTTTCTACTAAACAACCTAGATTATTATTATTATTATTATTATTATTATTATTATTATTATTATTATTATAGCCCGTTACAATTCCGTAGAGGGCCAGGGTCTTCTATTGTCCGGTGGGTTACACAATGGTAGAATTCCTGAATACCCTATTCGGGATCTAGCTTATAAATACGCTATTTATACAGAACACAAAAATAAGAAAATGTACAAGCTATTTTCACACAAAATAAGTAACACTTTACTTTGTCACTGTCAGAGTTAACACTAATCTTTTGATTTGACGTATAATTTATATTTTACTACTTAAATTGTTTACTTCTTTTCACTATTTCATTTTTTTTCTCCTTAAATTATGCCTTATATAAATATTTTTGCTCAGAGACGGAAATTGTTTGAAAGTCGAGTATTTTTTTTGTTTTACAAGTATTTTGATGTAGTTTTATTAAGTCATTAAGTTATTTCTAGGGAGTAGCAACAACGTGACATAAATTAACAAGTTTCTATACATTAACAGTTTTCACTTAGGAGCGGAGAGCTTTTTTAAGAGACATTAATCATTGTTAAACTCCTATTCTTAACATAAAGTTAATGACATTATTGCATCTTTAAGTTTTTTAAGGGAACAAATTTCGAAATCATAATACTTTCAAATCAAAATGTTTAGTTTTAATTTCAATTTAATTTATTTGCTTAAGTAGAGAAAATGAGAATGAATATAGCCACATTTGGGTAAATAACTGTCAAGTGACTTCTCCAAGACTGTCATGGGCCAGATATTTTCTGATGTACCGTCTCTACGTACAGATCGTACAACACTTCTTTTGAATCTCTTGCCAGTTCCTTCAGTGGACACAGTGTCGCGAGTTCGTAGAAAGCAAGTTACCGTGGCCTCCATCTTAAAATGTCTGCCGTATCTGTATATGTCAAAGCTATGTCTTCAGAATGTAATTGTTATGCTGGCGAAACCCCATGCTGAGGAATGAGCGAAATAATCTAGGCTGTGAATGAATATTGACAAGGAATTATGTCCTTCAAGTATACTTATCAGCAAGAAGTTACGTCTTAGAATTTATGAAAAGAAGACCAGGCTCATGCGCTAAGATGTAGGAGACAGCTGTGACAAATTGTCAACAAAATTGTAACTATTATAGTTTCAGGGTGATTAAAACTTGAAGAATTAAATACAAATACATTTCAAAATGTACGAAGGGGAATTTTATAGTTTCGAAATTGTCTCATTGTATTGATATTTTGATCAATAATTAACAAAATAAAGTATACACGAAAAAGTAGAAAATAAGTTTATTAATGAAACCGATCAAATGTTGAATGTGATTTTCCAAAACGATATCACGGCATGTATGTTAAATATAATATAGATTTTTAAATGCTGATAATATTGTTATAGTATTCGTTGCTATTCGACAGGTGCAATCATTCTTACAAAGATTGCCATTACAAAGATTATTTAAGCTTTCCATTGAAAGGTTAACGTAATGTATGGCACAGTGAAGATATATAGCGCACTAAACATAATGATGTGTGGCTCATTAAGAACACTTGGGCCATTCGTATTGGCGACACGTGCACGGGGCGAGGCGGGGCGAGGCGGGTTGGAGACGGGCGGGGGGCTCAGAGATCCCCTGGGCAGTGGTCTCGGAGCCCCAGCGGAGGGAGGGCAGCGAAGCGGCCGCGGCCGCGGTCGCCGATCGATTCCCTCCCCTTCCTGCACACACACACACACACACACACGCACATCCCATTCCCATGCAAAGACTGGGCAGGGTTGTAATGCGTTGGGAGTATTTTCGCGTTCGCCTCTTTCACTCAGGTCAGACACGTGCTCTGAAACATGAAAATGGCAATTTCAAACCAATGGAACAGTTTCGACGAACAACAAACAGGCGAATGAAACACTTGTTTATCTTCATTACACATTAAAGAGTTAGATATTGAAACTGGTTGACCATTAATAAAATATATTTATTGACCATTGATAAAATTTTAATAATGGAATAGCTCATATACGCATAAGATGGATAGCGCATGTAAGAAACAACGGACTTACAATAAAACCAACATTTGCAGTAAAGACCCAACATGTCTAAGTAATATCACAATCAGAGTGTAATCGAAGGCTACGGTGCTCGTATTTCAGAACATTTTAAAAGCTTCTATCACTCCGGGCCGTATGCGTCACGAGTTCTGTGTTTATCCGCTGCTGTAATGCGTGCTGACCAAAGCTATATCTTTCTCCTGGCATCATGTCACCATTCCAGTTCTTACATTTCTCGCAAATACAAGCCTGAAGGCGTCAGGCCATGTAAATGTAGACAAACATGCAAATGTAGCCTGTTTACCATTTTCTTCTTCTGCGCAGCCGGGATCTCGCCAGCCAGCGGTAAAAGGCCAGTCCCCTGCCGCGATAAAATATGCACTGCACTTACGGGTCCAATGGCCTTCACAGTTGACGCGTCTTGAATCACTAGTCAATTGATATAAACACAAGATTGTCATCAAAATTATTAAATTGAATGTCATTATCTTTGTAGTATCGAAATATTATACGCCATCCCGGCTTATGACACTCTTCGCAAGTACGTTAATACACAATTCAAGAATGAAAACTCTTAAGGTACATACAAGTTATGACCATGAATGTTCAATCCGAGTAATGTGGATCCGTCGTCACTCCCTTAACATAGTTTTCCTAAAGAACTGTGCAACAAGGATATTTTTTATTTTCTTTTTATTTTAGGCTTTAGGATCTTATTAAGGGTGAATGCGTCCTTTACAGGGAATGTGAAGTTGGCATATATTTTTATTTGTATAAGACAATATTATATAAACATAAAATATGCCATGACATTATAATAAAAACGTAGCTGACGATTAAAATGTGTGTGCCTTAAAGACTTCTAAATATTATATACTCTCGCAAACAAAAAAAAAACTACCTAGAATTGAGTGCTAGTTTTGTACTTATTACACTTAACCTTTCTCACGTTTATGTATCTCAGAAAATATACGTGTTAACGTGAGAATGAAATACAAGTAAACATTTTTTTATGACGGTTTCGTGTTGTTGCGGAAGTCAATTCATTCTGTAAACTGCGAAGCTTGGAAACTTTCTCCATTAACGCACCAACAAGAAACGTGTTGTAGGTTGTCAAAACCTGTAAGATTAATTAATACTCCCAAAGAGAAATGTAAATATAATGCTTGAAGGCTAAGTATTGAATATGAAAACCCACAAAGAACTTTTCTCGAAGTATTTATGCTCTGAAGTAATATACATTTTCCGAAGAATTTTATATACTATTTGTAAACAGATTGAAGTCCTCAATCCAAATTAGTATGCAAAACGCAACCTACCTTTCTGCAAGCATGTCACATTACTTTTTAATTTATTTATTAGTTTATTGTTGCCTTTTACAAAACATCTCGTGATTCACAAGTTTCTTGATTAAAAATTGAATTTTCCCTAACGTTGTTAATTTCAGTCATAAAATTTTATGATTGAAAACAATTTGAATGGAAAGATTGTAAGCCATTTAGCTTGAGTTGAAATAATGCCGTTTAAAACTTATTTTCACCAATGGAGTCTCAGCTGGGGGCAAAGACAAAAGAGTTCCCAACAGCGAGAGCGACGCCCCGAGCTTTCCCCACTCGTTTCACGCGCAGAGGAGCTTTAATAGCTAATCTCTCCAGGGACTTGCCAATGGTGTTTAAGATTTCTGAACGAATGACTTAAACATGTCTTGGTTAAAACCAAGGAAAACCTTGGAAAACCAATATACTAATCCCAAATGTACATTTCATAAACGTTGACAGATTTTAAAATATTGATTTGTGACAATGGTACAAGCTCGTAGCGATTAACAGATGTTCAAGGGTCACTAGTGTTTAACTCAAATGTAATTAGATTGATATTTAAAGACTTTAATTGATGCTCACAGTTCCAACACTGGTAATATATATGTTTTACGAAAGATGAGTTTGTGACACTGCTGTATCCATACACCATATCGACGTATACCACATTAGATATCAGGGCACGCAAGGTAAGGAGGCTTCAAGTAAGCCTACGTCTTTACACAGATGTAGTTCCCATATTAAATACGTGACTTCTGCCTTAATACCTTTCCATGCTGCAGACACAGTTGCAATAGTCTTTTCATTTTTTTACCTTCATCACACTTGCCGTGTTCTATTATGGAAGATCCTCTACCCGCTTTCACGGTGTACTAATGAGACAGGATTTTACTCATTACTTTCTACTACTACACTAGTAATATACGTACTGTAGAGAAAGTTATGTATTGTGTTTACTAGGCTGTCCAGGTGACGCCGCGTCCATGGCGAAGGTGCAGACGTTTCGGTCGCCATTCTGCGACCTTCCTCAGGGCGTAATGCTGAGGAAGGTCGCATAATGGCGACCGAAATGTTGGCACCTTCACCCTGGACACGGCGTCACCCGGACAGCCTAGTAAACACTGACTCCGACCGCGGAAGCCTACGCTCTATAAAATTGTGTACTTCTGGGACAAATCGGCGTGTTTGTTACAGAAAATTGTGGGGACCTGACACAGACAAAAGGAATAAATCTTGTTCTAAAATGTAGTCAGATTTAAGATAACTCTCTCTAAAACGTTATGTAGTCAGATTTAAGAAATTGTTGGACCTTGATACCAAAAATTTTTTTTTCAAAACGTCCATCCATCTGTCCGTTTGTCCATTTTAAACAAAATAAAAACCTGTCGATGTGGTCTCATTGAAAGCTCCGCAATTTTGAAAAACATTCATTATTTTTACGGGTACTTCACTGGAAGTGACTGGAACATTTCCAACATGATCTAAAACAAGGTTCCAATTTTATTCCATAATTTTATTCTAAGAATAGCATGAAATGCACTTAACGAATGTTGCGTAGGTCCGAGTTTCACTGTTAACTCTGAATTTTTGAAAATTGCAAAATTCTACGTCTTCCTACAACTACAAAATTGACGGTAGAGATTTTTCCTTCGAATAAACCTTTCTTTTCATAATTAGTTATTTCAATAAGATCCTGCACGTTTTTTGAAAATGTTAGAAGTTTTTGTTCAATATTGCGTGTAATAGAGAAAATAACAAAAATAAGATTTTCTCAATGCAAAGAAATTAGACTACTAATTAGTACGAGATTCTGTGTGCCATTCTGGTGCACCACTAGTTTTCAACTTGTAGTCCGCTTTGGTGCAGTCTCCCTGCTGAACAGAACTACCCATGTGAGCAATTTCTTTAAAGCGTTCCCTCAACTCCTTTCATTTACCGTTACATTCAATAAAATTACACATTTATCTTTTACATGTCAGTGTAGTTGTATTCGTAGAACTGAGACGATTTTATCACGGGATATTGTATATACTATGTTATTGCATATACTATAACAGATGTTGAATGATCACTGCAAGAAAATTTTCTAGTGCTTATCCACTCTTCCATCTTACCATGAGGTTTAACTCGGGCGACGAAACAGTCGATTGGAATATAGCTCAGAGACTTCATTTAGGCTTGTAGATATTTTTTACATGCAGTAAATCTATTAGCATGGGACAGCCGGCTTTACTTCTTCTCCGAAGAAAGACGTATGAAGAACTTTTTCGCCCTTAAAAATACACGGCTTCGTTCGGGTTTGATCCCGCGAACTTGGATATAACAGTCCGATAACCGTTACACCATCGCCGCCGCCAAACTACTAACGCCACCTACAGTCGCGTGGCCGCAAACTGCTGGCGCCCGCGTAAGCACAATGACAATGGGTATAACAGTCCGATATGAACCGTTCACCATCGCCGTCCACATTACACCATCGCCGCGCCACCGCCGACATCGGTCGGGAACAGTGATTTCAATTCACTATAACCGAATGTTCACTGTTTCGGAGTTGGCTATATCATATCCAGAGTTGACCGGCTCAGGTGGTTCATGGCACCAATTGAAGTCACTGCACAGCTTCTGACTGGGAGGACACTGGAACCTCAGAAGCGGAAGGTCCTTGGATACCAGCACGACTGTCGCAGTACTTTCGACACTAGCAAGATAGTTAGGTGAAATTCAGTAGCTGCCTGGAGAAAAATTCTAGTGACCAGCTGGTTTAATCGGCGGCTTTCTGTGGTTTATCGGATCACTACCAAGCGAACATAGGATAAAAAAGCCACCACGACACGCACCTTTCCTTCCTCTTCCTTCATATCCTCATCTCTTACTTACACGTTCACCCTCTTGCGCCAAACTATCACACGTGTCGGATGATCAGCCGGGAGCCTAATAGAGTCTCGTGCGGTGCTCCGTAATTGGGATATACATGAATGGAGAAAACTCAGTTATTCAGCATGCACCACCTAGCGGGGGAAGCCGCCACCTCCCTTGATAAAAACACGCACTTCACTTCAAGCACTAAGGACCATAATAGTTGACAGCCCCGTAAATACGAATCAGTCTGTTCGTAGTGGACTGTATGTGGAAGTGGCGCGCCGGGCGCGGAGTGCCCCAAGGAGCATTTTCCAGCCCCCGAGGGCGGCGCGGCCGCCGGGGGTGGCCATCGACCCGAGCACGTCCTTGGCCACATCGCTCGCGTTCTTGCGCCCGGGGCGCTGCGGGCGAGGGGCGGTGGGTCGGACACTGGCCTCGGGCCGGCGGAGGCGTCCCGAAACTCGATACGAATGACGCCACCCCAACCTACGCAGCGCTAATCACGGCCGGCTGGTAACGAACGACGCCCCCTGGGGCGACGGCGCTTCAAGTCGTTACCCGCGGGCGATGGCGGACGGGCGCATACTCCATGCTACCGGGATTTCCAATTTTTTCCAATCTTTTAACCTCCTTAAAACAAAACAAAAATAGAAAATCCTGATTTCCAAAGTATCTACCTATTCCCCTTGCTCTGATTTTAAACCGATATCAATGAAATAAAAATAAAATTTAATAGAGTATTTTTTAAAGACGAATACTCAAAATAATTTTAGAAACTATTCTATTCATTATTGTTATTAATGATATTTGCTATGTGAAAATCATAATGAAACGAGTGTTGCTTTTATAACGAGGCGTTGGCCAATCATCTGCATGTATCGAAGTCATGTTGCAATACGCGCATTGGGTTTGTTTCTTACAATGTGATTGCGATTGTTTAATTTGTTTTCATTGTTACTATAAATTCACGATGGGTGAAAAAGAATGATATTTGTTAGTTTTACTTTCTTGCGCTTAAGAAGGAAATCATTAAATATTGAGATTTTTCCCTTAATAAAATATGTTCCTGTTAGATATATTATTAAATAAGATCATGTTCAGTTTTTCCAAAATTTGAGTAATTTTTGCGAAATTTTGTGAATATACATAAAATTGTGAATATACAATTTTTTCTTAAGGGAAAGTGTTTATAAAAACAGATCTTCAAATAGTTCAATGAACTTGTTCAATTTTTAAAACATTAGTATTTTGTTTAAATTGGCGACAAAATTAATTGTCCACTGCAATTTTACTGCGTTTCGTGAACGATTCCACACAGTTGGATGCTTCGTAAGTCAGAATTTATGTATTGTTTAATATTGCTTTTTTCGTTTCTTACATTCAACATTTTGTTATGCATTTACACATTAATTTTTACAAATTATTTGAAACCTATTAGGATAATATGGAACTAGTTAGGCTTCATAATAGACCAGACTTTCCCCAATTAGTTTTCTATTTCCTTTAGTCTCGGCTAGCTACTCGGACTTGCCACATACTCTCGCCAGCTGCCATCTATCGCCGCTCAAAGTAGATTTTTTGATATTTTCCTAATTTTTCGGTTTCCTAATTGTAGAGCAGAAATATTATTTTTAGATTACAAAAGAACAGTAAAACCTCGTGCTAAATGAAATTTTCTTTGAAAAATTTGTAGCAGTTGTTACAAAACTGCTGATTCGTACTGCTAAGCTGAACTGTACATTCGAAATTTAATATTTATTATCCTTTCATTAAAAAATTTGGCCGGTAAGGGCAAATTGTTTTTACTGTCTTAAAGAACAGAGATTTTACTATTATTTAAAGTATTTTTTGGAGGTACTTCACCGTTGGCGATCTAATGAACTTATTACCAAAACGTTTTATTTCAGGCGGTGTCAACATGTAAAAAGGTGATAATAAATTAACTTAATAATACAAACCGTAGAAAATTTGTAATTTAATTAGTTGATTAGAACTAGAGATATTTATCAAATGTGCTACGACTAACCGATAAAAACGTTTTAAACCGAATGCAGATGAAAATAAGCGTTTGTGCAAAGAACGTTATTATTTTTCAAGCGTATGCGCATTGTTTTGACAACGCTGCGCTGGCAACAGTGAGTTGTTCTCTTCTGTATAATTCGCTGGGAATACTGTTATCAGTCAAATGAATTTCTGTTTGTTTCATTAAATTAAGTAATTATTGCTGCTTCTGACTATCGCAATAAATGCAGATATGCATCACAGGCCCAGTTTTTGAATTGGACGTTTTCAAGTACAGGCTGAGGTACTAGTAGTCCAAAATTTGCAATTCTTCAATATGACGTACTTGTTTCCATTAACAAGAGATAGTATGTGCTGTTGTAGTACCCATACTTTAATTTTATTATGCCTGAAGAGAACTTGGATATTATTCCGTCAGATATACAGAACTCAGCGAGAAACATAATATCTTCCCCTTTTCCGGAAAAA